TAAAACTCAGTCTCAGAAAACTAGACCCATTTTTCCTTGGGCTTCAGACTATGGAGGAAATGAGGCTGAGTTGTTTTCTAGAATGCCATGGGGTTTGAGGCTCTGGGACAAGTGGGACTAAAGAAAGAATGGTCTGTCCATATCCTTTGTGGTGTCGCCCTCTGCACTCCCATGCCCACCTCAGGACACAGAAGACCTAGATCACTATGAGATGAAAGAGGAGGAGCCAGCAGAGGGCAAGAAATCTGAAGACGATGGCATCGGAAAGGAAAACCTGGCCATCCTAGAGAAAATTAAAAAGAACCAGAGGCAAGATTACTTAAATGTACGTGCCTTGTAGAGAGGCAAGGCAAAGGGTTGGAGGGTGCTGGCTGGGGAGTGGCAGGCCACTGCCCATCAGTATGGAGAGCTGCCTCCTTTGTTGACTCTGTCTGATCTTTCCCCTAGGCCAGACTGCCTTAAGGTTTGCCCACCAGATCAAGGAATAATTGTGTGTTCTCTCCTTTCCAGGGTGCAGTGTCTGGCTCGGTGCAGGCCACTGACCGGCTGATGAAGGAGCTCAGGGATATATACCGATCACAGAGTTTCAAAGGCGGTGAGTTTGCCCAAGGGCTGCACAGGAGCTCCTCAAAAAGACATGGTATTGGTAAGAAGATGGCTTGGTGGAGAAAACCACTTGCCATCAAGTTTCAGGACCTGAGTTCAGTCTCTAATACCCACATGACAGAGCCTCTACTTGCATGGGTGGTACATGTACACACACATGAAATAAGCAAATTAATATAATTATTTTTAAAAAGGATGCAATATGATGCTGGCAAGGAGCCCTGAGAATTTCTAGTTCACACAAATGCTCATAAACTTTTCAGACTGGGATTGGAACTCCTCAAGGCATGAGGACCCTTTGAGCCTTTTTTTTTTTTTCTCTTTGAGACAGGATTTCTCTATGTAACTGCTGTTCTGAGCTCACTCTGTACACTAGACTGGCCTTGAACACAGAGATCCGCCTGCCTCCTGAGTGCTGAGACTAAAGGCGTGCACCACCACGGCTTAACTTGAAGAGGGAGGGATCCATCTGTTGGTCTAAATCCATCTTACTGATGCCTCCTTTCCTTCCAGGAAACTATGCAGTCGAACTCGTGAATGACAGTCTCTACGACTGGAATGTCAAACTCCTCAAGTGAGTGGCAGCTCTGGGATGAGAAAGCCAAACGGGTGGAGTGACTGGAGGCCCTCAGGGGGGTCATGTCCCATGCAGTGTGCTGGTGACAAGGTCCCAGGAGCAGGTGTAGGAAGTGGGGCCCATGGAGTCTGAGGACCCAGCAGTCGAGCCCAGGTTCGTTGTTTTGTAGAGTTGACCAGGACAGCGCTTTGCACAACGACCTCCAGATCCTGAAGGAGAAGGAAGGAGCAGACTTCATCCTACTTAACTTCTCCTTTAAAGTAAGATGGCTGGCTCTCAGCCCTGCTCTCTGGCTGAGCCTTCCCTGCCTGCCTTGAGTCTTAAGAGAATGCAGGCCTCCCTTCCCTGACTGCTGTCTGCCTCTCTCTCAGGATAACTTCCCCTTTGACCCACCGTTCGTCAGGGTTGTGTCTCCAGTCCTCTCTGGAGGGTGAGTGGCTGGGCAGAGGGAATAGGCCATCTCTCATACAGCAGGTGAGGAAGGGACTGGACCCCTGGCCAGGCACAGCTGACTAACCCTTCTTCTGCAGGTATGTTCTGGGTGGAGGTGCCATCTGCATGGAACTTCTCACCAAGCAAGTGAGTGAGCCTGTTTCACTCTTGGCCATTGGCCTGGGTGGGGCTGGCTGAGCTTTAACCATTGGAGTGGAGGAACAAATCATAGCCATAATATGGCCCTTTCATTGCACTAGGTATAACCTGTCCCCAGGAACCTAAGTAGACAGTGGTGACTGTACTGGGAGTAAAGGGACCTTTCTGTAAAGGCTGCCTCTTGCCTGGAAAGGTGCTCAAGGTGTCTCGGGAAGCTGTATCCTCACTCCTGCTTTGTCCCTGCTGTGCCCCAGGGCTGGAGCAGTGCCTATTCCATAGAGTCCGTGATCATGCAGATCAGTGCCACGCTGGTGAAGGGAAAGGCACGAGTGCAGTTTGGAGCCAACAAAGTAAGGGCCCTGGGACTGGGGAGCCAAGTACAGCTTGGCCACTAGCCGGCTAAAGTTCCTTTGGGGGACAGAGGACAATGCCTCTGAAGTGGAGGGAGGGCTTTGGCCTCGGGCATCCTCAGATGTTGGGGTGGGCACAGGTCTGGGAAGGGAAGCTGTGCCCTGTAGTATGTCCTCAAGGCCTTCCCAGGCAGAGGCGCTTAGTGCTGAAAGCTGGGACTCTTGAGTCCCTGGGTGACAGCCTGCAAGTGAGGGACAGCAGGCTGCAGCTGGCCATGACCTGACCTGGTGACTGTCTCTCCCCAGTCTCAGTACAGTCTAACAAGAGCACAGCAGTCCTACAAGTCTTTGGTGCAGATCCACGAAAAAAACGGTGAGGCTGGAGCCCGGCCCCAGAAGAGCCAGCCCTGTGCAGGGCCCTGGGCCCCACGCCAGCCAAGCGCAAGAACCTTTGGTTTCTGAGCCTTTGTGTCCATTGATCAGCCTCTGCCCACTTCTCTAGAAGTCTGGAGGTGGCTAACCTCACTCTTCTCCTCAAGAAGTGCCAGGGGTGGGGTCAAAGGTAGCCTGGGTACTATCATCCAATTTCTGTTACTTCTGGGTGGGTTCACCCGTCTGCCTCCTTTGAAATAACCTCCAGGTAAGTATCCTCAGCTTCCCTGTGCCCATGTCCCTGCGCTGGACTGGACATCCTTCCTAGGATCTGCTTTTCTGGAACAATAGAGAGGTCCTCAGGGATTGGGGTGGGCAGTTGGGGTGGCCTGGCCCTGCCCCTCACTGTGCTGGTTTGTGTTTTTGTGCAGGCTGGTACACACCCCCAAAGGAAGATGGCTAACCCTGGAGTATCATCCCTTCCTCCTCCCCCAGGCACCACTGGACCAATTACCTTTGAATGCTGTATTTGGATCTCACGCTGCCTCTGGTTCCCTCCCTCATTTTTCCTGGACGTGATAGCTCTGCCTATTGCAGGACAATGATGGCTATTCTAAACGCTAAGGAAAAACAACAACAAACAACACACTGAACTGTTTCAAGTACTCAAGACTGACTACAGACCAACCACCTTGCTGGAACCCTTGCTAGCAGGCATTCTTATAAAGAAACTCTCAAGCCTCCTTACATTGCTGGAAACTCAGCTGTGCTCCAGACTAGAGCCTCCTTACCTATGCTATGGGTTTTTAATTTATTTTCTCTTATTTCATGTACACTGCTTTTTTTGGTTACAGTGTATGATGGATGTGTATGGAAAAAATGTATCTTTGGGAAAACAATTACAGTTTGTTAATTTGAAGATGCTGGTCTTGACTCATCTTTATTTTTATTCCCACATCCCCTGACTGCTGGGTGGGGGGAGGGGGGCCAGGCCCACCATGCTTTGATAGCAAGGAGAAGCTGCAGAGAGGCTGCATTTTGCTGCTAGCACAAGAGAAATGCCAAGCTGAAGCACTTGCCTGATGTGACCCTAGGTTGCTCCTGAAGGCCTCTTGGAACATTCCTTGCAACAGCCTGGCCTGCTGAACTACAGTGCAGAGGCCTAGAAACAACCTGATTGATACAGCTTCTTTGTACTAATCTCCATTTTGAAATGTCCAAGAAAAAGATGAGACTTGAGTGGCTGCTTCATAAACTCCTTTTGAGTGGGGTGGGGCCCAGGCTCCTGGATGCATGAGGTTTTCTCTAATCCCAGCCACCTGCCGAGTGGCTGTACAGCTGGGTTCCCAGCCTTCCCGTCCTCTGCTCACCTCTCCTCTGCTTCATTAGGTGATCTAAGAAAAGACATGAACTTTGGATTCTTTCTAGCCATTCCCAAGTTGCGGTCCTACTGGAAACAGCTCAATGTGGCTGTGTTGTGTGGTGGGTCCCCAGCTCAGCCCCAGGAAGAGCACGGAAGGGGAGAAGTCTGCAGAGCCAGAAACCGGCACTGCGCACCCTGTCGGATGGACCTGCTGTGGTGAGCCTGCTTCTCCCCGTCAGTGAGCGAGCCTGTGGGGCCACCTGCCGGCTGATGTGACAGAGGCGAGGTCCCAGGGTTAGAAAACCCAGCTCTGGGATGAGTGTTTTAATTTGGCCATCTTTCCTGCTCCCCCTTTCTTTAGGAATTTGAATGTCTTGCTGCTTAGGTGGATGGAGAGTTCACCAGTCCTACTTGATGCTGCTCTAATTCTGCCTACACCCACCAGATTAGGGGTGCTAATACACAGTGAGGCTGAGACACACAAGAGGATACAAGGGGAAAAGTCATTCCATGGAACTGAAATCTATCTCATAGCCTGTGTGGCTTCCTTCTGAACTTAATGCCGGCCCTGACTGGCATGTAGATGGTGTTTTTAGTAATGTGTACTGTGAGCTGTCCTCTGTATAATGTATTTTGTAATGTATTTTTCTCATCTACCAAAGGATGAATCAAATAAAGTTATTTAAATAGTTTGGCTCTAATAAACTTATTAAAACATAATGGATTCATATCCACTTGACATGAAGGAAAATATCAGGTTCTGTGAACTGTGATACCAACCCCTGACAATCCTCCATTTTTCTTCTCAAACCTTTTATGACAAAATTTTAAGTTTAGGCTTCTCATAAAGTTATGCTGAATTTAAAAATGAGGCCATGTCTCCATGCAGCAGTTTAGAGGACAGGATAGGGCAGCAAGCAGTGACTAGGAGAAAGTACCAGTCTCCCCAAACATGTAAGACATGACCGTCTTTATTTGCTAGAGTGATGGCTCACTGTTCTACCTGATACTATATGCAACACCAAGAAACCTAAGCAGGGCCTCTTCCAGCCTCCTGAGTCTGCCCTGACTTACAAAGAGGAAAATGTGATTGGCTGCTCAGGATTCTAACATAATGGAAGCTTGATTTTTTTTTTTTTCAAGCGTGTTTGCCAGTTTAGTAGACTAAAGGCACCTGACAAGACTTCACCCTTTGAAAAGGCAAGGTGGAAAAGCAACTCAATGTTGAGGCCCCAAGAATGGATGGCACTCAGGGCAGTGCAGGCAGACAGAAATAGCTGGAAGTTCCCAGCGTGCCCCATTAAACTTGAAGCTTCAGGATGTGTGGCTAGAAGAAAGGAAAGTGGGTGAGGTGGCGGGGTGTCCATCTAGTTCCCCAACTCCTGGCCTGTGTCCAGCCTGTGTCAGCTAAGATTTCAGGGAGACCAACAGAATTTTGGCAGAGGGACAGTCACCTCTCAGAAGCACCAGGATTTTTTCCCCCTCTGGGTAGTTAATGGACACCTGGTGTGAAGTCAAAACGTCTGCAAAACAAAACACCACAAAACTTAGGGCAGGTGGTGGCAGAGGAGGGAAGCAGAAGGCGGAGCCCCAGGGAGTGGGCTCTGGCGGCAGACCAGCTCCCCAACAAGTCTCAGCTGGAGTCTGCTACCTCCCAGCTCCTGGAGGAAGACCATAAAGCTGGAGCAAAGCAGGGGGATGGGCAGGGAGCAGCTTGTAGAAGAAGCAGCCCTGTTACTGCTGTTCAAACAATTACCGCGTCCTGGGTTATGTTCTCTACTGGGAAATTCTGTGGGGATAAAATGATGCTTTTACCATGGTAAGCGAGCATGGTACCAGCCAAAAATTCACCTTTCTTCCAGAGGTTTCTCCAGATTTCAGCTCTGCCTTCCCTCCCACCCCAGCCTCCAAACTCTGGGGCTGCTGGTATGAGTGAGACCAATTCTGATTAGGGCAGAAGGAGTCCCTCCCCCCGGGGTGCCCTTGTCACGCTATGCAATACCAGGACGGTCCTTTCTCTTTCTGAGCCTGCCCTTCCTCACCCTCAGGAGGAGGAAATTCATCCCCTGGGGTGGCTTTCTCAGAGTGCCTGGAGAAGTACTCACCTGGGCTGGCGCTCTTCCGTTCTTTGGCCCCTGGCCACCTTCGGATATCCAGAACCAGGCAAGGCAGCAGGCCTCTTTTCATGCAATGGCCCACGATGCCCTCTGGGTGGCGCTCCCTGACCACTGGGCACAAGGCCGCTGACCTCCCAGGTAGCCTGAGCCCACACTTCAGGAGGCACGTCAGTGGGCTGTGTCTACCCTGACTCTTCCAGGTCTCTCCCTCAATCTTGAGAGGGAGCAAGGGAAGATGGATCGCCTGTGTTTGTAGAATATGGAAACTGATGTCTCAGCACCTGGATAAAAAAACATGACAGAAGACACCCTCCCCCCACGTCCAGTGCTTCAACACAGGTTTCCAAACTTTCATTTTCTTCTACAGCAGGATCCGTCCCCAAAGAAATTGTAAACAAAGCGGAAAGCCTGAAACAGCTGCCATCTTAGGGACTATGGTGGAGGGGGGGGGGAGTCTGCCTTGCCAACTAAGAACTCGACAGCAGCTGATACTCCTCAGGGACACTGAGGCTGCAGAAACAGCCGTGAAAAGCCCTAACTCAAAGGGCACTCCACCGGCATGGCTGCTGCTAAGGAGAGGAGAGAGCAGAGCCAGAGGCTCAAGGAAACCTACCTGGCCAGTCCCCTAGAGGTCCCAGATGTAGGCACCTCCTGCCCCTGATCCTCGGGAGAGGGTGGAGACAACATGAGTGACTGAGACAGAGGTGGTGAGGTCCAGAAGTCAGTCAGTCACTGTCTAGGCTGTGCAGGAACTGCACAGGGATGGTGGTCAACTGCCCGGCAGCCTGCTTAGCTAGCCCAGCCCTTGACCTACAGGAAGGAGAGAGGCAGGTTATGCCACTGGGTCCTAAGCACAACAGCTCTAGGCTGGGGGATGGAACTCTAAGAATCGTGGCACTGCTGTCCCCACATCAACTCTCAGTCATGTGCATCACTGAGGTACACATGGATTGGTGGCCCTCTTGGTTCTGGAGCCTTCTTCCTGGGGTGAACGTGGTAATGGGGCCCAATCAGTGGTGGAGACCCAGAACCGCCATGTGATTCCCGTGCTTTGAATATTGTCTTCCCTCCAGAAGAGCTTTCGGTTCTCTTGGGGATGGTTAGGAGGGCTACGGTAACAGTGCATCTGCAGAGACAGTTGCAGCCCATTGCATTGACCCTGCCTGCAGAGGCTCTGCTGGTACACACAGCTTCTCTTCTATCCAGAGGACCTGAAACCATGGGTGCCTCCGCCCTACAGCTGGGGCTTCTGCCTGGCGGAGCTCCATCTGGGCATCTACAGTATGACTTGGAACGGAGTCAAGTCATGAGGGCAGTGTGGGCCCAGGGGAGGCTAGTAGAAGAGTCCTCCCTTTCTCTCCTTGCCTTTTTGGACCCCACAGAGGCCCTGGATTCGCGCTAACCAGGAGAATTGGAGAGGTGAGGGGCTGTGGGGTCGGCTGCCACAGGCAGTAGGGGCTGTGCCAAGACCAAGGCCCTGGGTATGGTGGTCTGGGATCCAGAGAAGGGTCTGCCCCAGGATCTCACTCTTTCCCATGAGAAACAGGTCAGTTGTAGGAGTTGTTAGAATCTTCATCCTGCCCAGTGCTATCCCTGGCCCACACTCCAGGTAGAATAAAGCCTGCCATCACCATTTGACTTGGGGAACCTTCTACCCATGTTCCTGTGTTCTCTCATCCCATGGGAATTTCAAAGGTTGCCCTGTTTTCTCATCTGGGGGGGGGGAGGCAGGCGGTGGACCCCTTAGGAGGGAGGCAGGCGGTGGGCCCCTTAGGAGGGAGCCTTGTGCAGGACAGAGAGGTCAGAACTGTGCTAGAGGGGTGCAGCCTCCCCAAGTGGCCTCTGCCTGCAGCAAGGTAGCCTCCAGGGAGCTGAGAAGACACAGCTTCTGCTTCCCAGTGTCGTCCCCCCTCAGCCCACATCCTCATGTGGATTAGGAAAGTGCCCCAACAGAAGGAAAGGGGAAGGGGACATTCTATGCTCCCAAAGGGAAACAAAGCTAAAAAGGAGGCTGCTGGGGAAGCCATGGCCCGAGTGGGCTGAGAGGAGCAGAGGAGCTTTGCAGACGCATTAAGGATCTCACCTTGGTCTGGCCAATCTCCAAAGCCTGGGGCACCATCCGGGTGTGGCGGTGTCTACTCGACTGCTGCCGGTTTACATGTTGGATCACCCTGTGGTTTAGAGGCAGCAGCAATCACTCCTTCCTCTCACAATCCTGGAACAGCCCAAAGGGATGCACAGAAAGAGAACAGGAGGGTCAGGGAAGCTGCTGGAGAGCCGGGGTCCTCACAAGCCCTCCTCAGACAGAGCAGAGCTAGCCAGGAATGTCAGACCCGGATGCTCCCTGCTGGGCCTTCTCGGAGGACAGTGAGAGGTAGAAGTAGGAATAACTCGGTATGAACAGAAAGTTCTGGATGCTAGCCACTGCCTGCGGCCCTACACATACACCCAGCTTAAGCTGGTCTACCCACTTTCTCACCAGGGGAACACACACACACACACACACACACACACACTCACTCGAGCAGAGACCCCATATCTCCAATTGGGACTGTGCCTGGACGTCAATGTAATCAGTGTTCCTGAAGTAACTCACTGTTAGCTAGGCGTGGTGGCACATTCCTGCACCAGAGGGAGGTTGAGGCAGGGAAATTGTAGTGAGTTCAAAGCTAGCCTGTGCTATAGAGTGAGTTCATGGCTATCCAAGTCAAGGGTCAGAAAGAAAATGCTAAGACACCTGACCACCTGAGTTTGATACCTGGGACCCATGGAGTGGAAGGAGAGAACGGATCCTCTGACCTCCACATACGCAGGGTATCTGACACTTGGCTTCCAAGGGAAGAGTGACCAAGGCAGAGGTCAAGCTTTGGGAGTCTGGGTGCATTGTTGGTCCCAAAGCTGTGGGACTGGGGACAGGCTTGGAAAGCGGGTGCTGAGGAAATGTTCAGGGGTGTGTCTAAAGAGGAGTGCAGCAGCTGTGGCGGTGCGTACCTTAGTCCAGCGCCCAACAAGAGGCAGAAGTAGTAGGTGGAGCTCTATGGGTCTGAGGTTTGGGGTCCGCCTGGTCTACGTAGGAGTTCCAGGCCAGTCAGAGCTATAGAGAGAGAATTTGTCTCAACAAACAAACAAATAAACATGGATGGGCATGGATGGGAGCTGGGTAGTAAAATTCAGATCAGAGACTTGGCTGTGGGACTGTGAAGGTCACTGCCGCTCCTGTGCATGATAGGGGATGTCATTCTGTAAATATCTCTCTTATTGGTTGTTGAATAAAGCACTGTTGGCCAATAGGGAGGCAAGATAGTGGGACTAGGAGTCGAGGAGGATTCTGGGAAGGAGAAACACAGTCACCATGTAGGACGCGGGAGAAGCAATATGTGGACCCTTCCTCTGGTAATCGAAAACCACATGGAAATACTCAGATTAGCAATTATGGGTTAAATACTTAAGTCAGAGCCAACCAGTAAGAAGCCAAGCAAACGGCCAACAGCTCATAGTTAATATAGCGTCCTGTGTGTTATCTGGGGGTTCAGACAGCTCGGCAGGGCCCACGCGGCTGGAGGGAAGACTACACGTTGCATGTGTGGAGCCACATGGAGGGAACAGGAGAACACTTTACTCTGGAGCAGAGAAGGAGAGGCCCATGTGGGACCAAATCAGGCCTTTCCAGACACAGATAAGAGCCACGCCGTGTTTGTTTCCCAGTGGGAAAGGTCCCCACAAGAGAGATGGGCAAGAGGGAGGACAGCCTGAAGGGGTGAGGTGAAGTGGGGAGTCTGGCTGAGGGGGGCATGGATGAAGAGGTGGAGAGGGAAAGAAAGGGTGCTGTTCTAAAGGGCAGGCTGTGACGTGCATTTGGGGAAAGAGAAGGAGGGGCTGGTGGGGCTTCATGGAATGTTAATATTTGGCTTTTTTATCTTATTTTAGTTTTTGCATTTACTTGCAGGCCATTGTGTGTATGCATGTGTGTGGAGGTCAGAGACAACACGTGGGAGTCTGTTCTCCCTTCCACCCCATGGGTCCTCGGGATCAAACTTCTTAGGTGTGGCACCATTGCCTGTAATACTGGGCGGTATCCTGAGCATAGGAGACCTCAAAGCCGGCCTCCACACTGGCACACTTCCTCCAGCAAGGCCACACCCACTCCAACAAAGCCACACCTCCTAATAGTGCCACCCCCTATGAGATTACGGGGGCCAATTGCATTCAAACCACCACATCAGGCTATGTGGCAGGTGTCTTCACCAACAGAATCAGCTCCAATGCTTAACTCCCTAAGCCTGAGTTTTCTTCTCCCTTCCCCTTTTCACTTATTTTGAGACAGGATCCCACAAGGCGTCAGGCTAGCCTTGAATTCAAGGTGATCCTCTTGCATCTGCCTCCTGAGCAATAGGACTTCAGGCATGCATCATGGCACTCTGCAGACCTAACTTTCCCTCTGCACCATGAATGGTACTTGCTGTGATGTGAGGGTTTAGTGAGTTGTCATCCGTGGATCACGGCACTCAGTGGGCGCTCTAAACACAGAAGCAGCATGGCTGATCACAGTGCAGGTCTAGAGTCCCTCTGGGCTCAAATCCTGGCCCCTAGTCACCTAACTGCTTGGCCTTGGGTGCCACTAGCTGTGAGCATCTGTCTAGCACTTACCATGGCCATCAGATGAGGCCCACAGTGAAGCCATGGGCAAGAGTGTCAGTCAGGGGATCTGCTACGGCCAAAGGCTATTTGACACCACATTCTGCCTTGCCCATGCCAGACCAGGGCCGCGTCCTAAAGGTTGCCTCTTCCAGCCAACCACATACAGCCCTCTTTTTTTTTCCATATTTATTATTTAACTTTTTACGCATGTCACTTTCAGTACCCTCTCCCTCCCCTTCTCCCCCAGCCCCCAATCCTCCCAACCCCTCACCTCCACTCCATCCCCCCTCTGCTCCCCAGGGAGGGCAAGGGCCTCCATGAGGGATTTTCAGAGTCTGTCACATCATCCCTGGAATGGCCCAGGTTCTTCCCCATGTGTCCAGGCTGAGAGAGCATCCCTCCACGTGGGTTCCCAGAGTCCCTCTGTATACCAGGAATAAATACTGCTCTACTCTCTAAGGTCCCACAGATTGACAAGGCCTCCTCTCTGTCACCCAGGTTCAGTGGGAGGGTGTCTGGATCAGTCCCATGCTGGCCCCTCAGTCATCAGTCTGGGGTCCATGTGTTCCCCCTTGTTTAGGTCAGCTGCCCCTGTGGCTTTCGCCAGTCATGTCAGGGTGGCTGAGTGGTCTAAGGTGCCAGACTCAAGCTTAGCTTTCTCCACATACAGCCCTTTCTATTTAAAATTCCCTGGGGTGGTTCTAAACATTGCCCCTGAGAACCGGCGTCAGACAGATGATGACTTTTTAATGTTTCACATTTAATTATTGTGTGCGGTGGCAGCAAGCATGCACTGTAGGTCACAGGAGAGCTTGCAGGACTCGGCTCTCTCCTCCCACCATGTGGGTCTCAAGACGCCGAACCCCCCTTCTGCTCCGCTGGGGGTGCAGGTGTGCATCCCCACCCTGGCTCTTGGTCCATTTGTCTTGCTCTGTTTTCCACTTCTTTCCCTGCCAACATCAACCTTGGATTCTCAGATAGTGCCCTTGGTTCTGGATTGCTGGCTTCATGTGGGGGCACTGAGGCTTCCCTCGACAAGCTTGATGATTCCCAGCTGACTCTTCTGTTTTGTTTTTCAAGACAACCTTTCTCTGTGTAGCTCTCTCTGGCTATCCTGGAACTCGCTCTGTAGACCAGGCTGACCTCGAACTCACAGAGATCCGCCTGTCTCTGCCTCCCGAGTGCTGGGATTAAAGGCGTGCGCCACCAACGCCTGCTCTTCCCTGCCTTTCTAGCTTACGGATGCATCTATGGGGACACTGTCATTCATTCCTACCTTTCTATGAACAAGTCAGGGGACATAGACTCCTTTTAGACGTACACTTCTGAAAAAGGCTTTATTCCACCTTCATTGAGACCACCTGATTCCACGTCCTCGAATACGCATCCTCTTCTGAAGCTTTGCCTGCATCTCCGTGGCATCTTGGAACTCATGATCCTCCCGTCTCACGCACCATATCTGCTTGACAAAGTGCCAGGAAATCTTTTCTTTTGACTTTTCACAACCATTTAAAAATGTACCCTGCCTTTGAGAACCTCCACCCTGGGGTGGGATTGACATGGTCCTTCCTATTCTACCAGCTAAGTGAAGTAAAACCTGGCTGTTGCATATAAAGTGTTTCTAAGATGATTCAGAAGTGGTGAGAAGATGGCAGACTAGAGACCTTGGCACCCAGTGTACATGGTGATGGGTTCTCTGGGATTTCTTTGTGGTGTGTATATTTCCAGACTCAGAGCCAAAGAGACTGGTAACCTAGGAATTCCAGCAGACATAGACAAACCCGCCCCCACTAAACCTATGTCCTCCAGGCAAAGGACCAGAATGCAGCCTGGCAAGACAGAGAGCCTTCAAAGGACAACTGCTCTGATTGAAGTGAGTCCTACACACACACACACACACACACACACACACACACACACACACACACACACACACGCACCACCTAAAGCAGAGCAGATAGCTCAGACTTCCAGGTAAGCCATCTCAGTACCCCTCCCTGATGGTATCACAGAAGACAGAGCAGGTAGCATGCTTCATCCTCCAGGAGTAAAGCAGTCACTCACTCCTGTGCCCAGCCTGGACATCAGCGGAGACCCCCTTAGACATTCGTGCTTGTCCAGCAGGACTACGGCTCTCCCTTTCTCTACCCACTGGGTTAAGTCAAAAGAAGTCAAGGACAGAGTCAGCACTTTCCTAGGGCCATTGGCCCCACCCGGGGCTATATCAGTGGGAAGCATTACTCAGCACCAGCAGTAAAAGGAGCTGCTGTCACTTTAAGAAGCTGGATTTGTATTTTCACCTTCTTCCCCTGCCACAACAGTGTCAAAGAAGACAGGAAGGAAAACTCGGTCACAGGGCTGGAGAGGTGGCTCAGGTGTTAAGGGCTCTGGCTGCTCTTGCAGAGGACCTGGGCTCAGTTCCTGGCACTCACACATGGCAGCTCACAGCTGTTCCTAACTCCAGTTCCAGGGGTCTGACACCCTCTTCTGGCCTCTGCAGGTGTTAGGCATACAAGTGATGTACGGACATACATACAGACCAGTCACCCATACGATAAGATAAGCAAGC